TACATGATGGGTAATTAATGATCATAAACGTTGTATGATGATGAAAAGGACTGTTAACGGGATTTATTCAAGATGATTGCTTGCGATAATTTTCGAGAAAGTTTTGGATGGCTCAGTAGGTTTTGAGAATGATATGGAATAGCTTTTAGGGCGATCTGTGGAGAAAAGAATAATTCACCACGATATCGAGTTAATGAATGGCACGCCTTTGAAATTACAAAGATAATCGTAGAGTACAATATCAGTGATATTTTTTTAATGCTGGTGGGATGGATGTTCTATGATTTACATCCACCTCGTACACTCGCGGTTAAGTAAGATTAATGCAGCGGAGAGGAGAAATCAAAACAACATTTAACTGCCTTATTTTGCTTCAACGCTTCTGGAACAGAAAAATTAAACCATTGATCATTGGAATATACGCAAATCCACGATGTTTTAAGGATTTTCGATCACTTCCCTGCGATTGTTATGCAAACATGTGCTTAAATAATACAAACAATATTTAATGAATGGCTAAAAAGCTTGGATACACAAGTGAAAAAACTAAAAAAAAAGAAAAATCCTTCTCGTAATTGATAATTAATTGGCGCATAACTTGACATGTATATTAGAACACATGAAAGTCGAGTTTCTACCTCCAAATTGTACAAAGGTTTACCAATCTTTGAATCTAGGAATCATACATGCAGCCAAAATGCATTACAGGAGTCAACTTATCAAAAAGTTATTGCTACAGTTCATTTCACGAGGTAATAGAAAAATATATTTTAATGAAGCATGTGATATGATCGTTGCGGTATGGCAATTCATAAAAAAATGTCAACCATATTAAAGTGTTGGAAGAGGAGCTCGATTCTTGCACGTACTGATCTTGAAAAACAAAACTGTAGTAGTGAATACCGTAACAGACGTGGAACATGATGTTAGAGAAATGTGGGATTCTCTAGTTGTTGCCACTGGAGTTCCGGTCATAGTTGATTATGGCATATATATAGATACAGAAGACAATTTATTAACAGGAAATTATTGAAAATGTACAGGAATTTTCATATAATGCCGTCATGACATTTGAAAGTGAAGATGACGATGAAACATGCTGTTAAGTCATTTAATGACATAACTTAGCTCTCAGAAGCTGTGGATAGCCTGAAAAAGTTCGTGGGTACTTGTCCTCTGCGACTAACATTCGATTAAAATATTTTTTTCAGTTGAATGGTGTCGAAAATTTAATTTTTAATGGTGCTATTAAAAATATAACAATTAAGCATAGACTTTTTTATCAGAAATAAAGTTTTGTTATGATAATTTGCATTTACATAACTGTGGGTTTATAATTCCAATATTTTTAAAGTATAACGAATTAATTTGTATAATCTCAAGAGTTTCGTTATGCCTAAATTTGACCTGTTTATGGTTTTCTGCTTTTTCTTGCATACTTGCGGACCGTTGTGAAGTCTTGGCAGTCCTTCACTATTTACATTGCTTACTACACTGTTCATTTGCTTCACTTTCAAAATGAATGCTTTCAGCCTTACTCAGAATCAGTCAGCCAAAACAGTTTGCTGCTTAAACTAGCAACGACTAACGTTTCAGCAATCACTGTCCCATTTTTATAACGATATTGAAGCAGACACCAAGCAGTATGTATGACACCTGGACTAGATAATAATGAAAGTTAGTGCAAATGAGTGGCCAATTAATATACAATTTCGACCTGACATGTCATTTTTTTGCTTTTGTCATTGCTACTTTATTCAACATGACGTAGAGGGCGTAAAGTTTAAAGTTTCAGTTGCGCATTTTTATCAGGCAGTAATCGCTAATTAATTATTGTAAAGTGCAACACTAGGATTCTTTTAAACTGAAACTTTGAACCAGAAGTTACTGAGGTAACCGCAAAGTTGCTTTGCCTTGTATATGCAGGACTTGGGTACATGCGCTTTAATCCTGTAGATGTGAGAATAAACCTCTCCGCTTGTTATACAACAGCGAAATTTTGGTATTGGTCTGAAGTACAAAGTATGCTCTTCCGCATATTGTTGTCTTGTCATTGTCATTTTAGGCAGACGGACTTTAAACAGTAGAGTAGGCCGGATAATATGACATCGTTATTTGTCTTTGTTATCGTTTTCTGACCGTTAGAAATGAATCTGTAGACTGATGTTAGGCAGCCCATGAGGTTTCAAGGCTGTAAATTGGTACCACGAATATAGCTGGTTGTGATCCTTGTATCAGTTCTTATATTTCCATGTGCTAACGGCTTGGCAGAATTCGCTGATGTCAGTCTGATAAGCCGATTCACTTTAGGATCAGTGTCGCCATTGTTGGCCAACACGGTGACAAGGTATTTAAAATAAGATCCACCTTTTCGACCGTAATACCGTTCCATAGTATCGTCAGGCTGGCGATCACAGCGGATGCCCTTATATTCTTTCTCTTCTTCTTCTCTCTGACTTGAGGCCTCACTCCCATAACAATGTTGCACCCTTGTGATGATTCAGAGGCCTCTTCCTTATCAGTCTATGCTGAGTTGTTGATCATCATGCGGCAGTGATGCTGGAATCCTTGATTCCTTTTACCTTGGCTCAGAAATCCAGCGATTGCTTTACGTTTTCGATAGCTGACTCTGGTTTTCAACTTTACTTTCTTTACTTCATTCATTCTCTGATTTATATTCACTCTCCCCTGTATTTCGTCCAGTTGCGGGGGGCGTTTTTATAGTTTTTTTTCAAAATGCACTCAGTGCTTAAAACTGTCAGTGACTGCTGTATTTAACACCATGACCATTCTAATTTTGCTGCAGAAAATGGAGTTTTTCAAGTTCTATTCATGCAATGTTCTTAACCTAGCAAACTTTAGCATCACCGTTGTCAGCTGTTAAGTGGAGACAAGCACCGTGGTGACATCACTACCTCAGAATATTGACCCTTTGAAATAGTCTTTTTTTAATTTATTGCACAAGACCTAAGTTGCTCAATCATTAGGGATCAGTCAAGCTCAGAACCGAGAGCTCTCTTATTTGAACTCTGGTCTGGTTACTCATCTTTCCTTTTTCCGATGCTGCTAAATGAGTATCATTCTCTAAGAAGGAAACAGGAGAATACACACCATATGCTTGTCACAGCTGTTGTCGATTCTGCCCTTATAATAGGGCACTGCTGGCTAATGACAGAAATTGAGGTAAGTGTCCAGCTATGAACTTCGTTAAAAACGGCACCAGAAGTGGCCTCTATCATGAAGGTGTGTAAAGATGACCGACTTACCAGCAGTTTCAGATTTTTTCCTCTGA